TGTTTTGTTATTTTTTGGTAGAAATGTTGTTAGAATTTTTCATAATCCTTCACAATTTCTTTTCTTCAGCATCTGAATTTGTTTGTTATTTTTTGGTAGAAATGTTGTTAGAAGTTTTCATAATCCTTCACAATTTCTTTTCATCTGAATTTGCTTCTTTTCTTCTTCTTTTGGCATGTATTTTCTTGCAGTAAAACTGTTGCACACTCCTAAAATTCCATGTTTTGCTCCTCTAATCAGACCATCGAGTTCCTTATATAAAACTGCCAGTTTGATTAGATCAGTGCTCCTCTCCTGAGTGTGATACTGATGGTGGGAGTTGATTGGAGCCCAGTTATAGTGATGTGTGAGGTGACTTTAACAAGAACACTAGTTAAACGTTAAACCACTAAAGGAGAGCATCACTGATAACCAGCAGTCACAGTACGAGCAGATCTGTTTGTGTGTTTTGTCACATTACTAAACCTGTGCAGGTCCTAACTCTCTCTGAAGTTTGACCCTTGACATTTTTTAGGTAACATTTCATGTCCCCATCTTTCTCACCCTCAGAAAGTCACACACCAGGAAAAACATGCTTGTGCAATAGGTCAGACCTCAGGATTTAGGTGGCTGAAAGTTTTTACTCCAAATTAGAAAATCCCAAGTATGTGAATGATTAACTGTGGCAATAATGATTCTTCCGTTGTGACATTTTACACTTACAGATACAGGTATGACTGTCTTGGGGAAACTTCCGATTAGATTAAAACGGTATCGTCTGTAGTGCGAATTTCAGCAGAACACAGTCACGCTGCTAACAAGTCCATCATGATAAAGATTTACAACAATGAGGTGTCAGTCTGTGCACAGATAATTCAGTCATTATGTTTAACCTGTGGTGTGCATGATTCCCCTTGTTCTACTTTCTGTCTTTTTCCTTTCCATCCTTCGTATGAAATACGACCACTGGGGGTAAAACTAGCTCTATTTTCTGGTAACTAATTTTCAATCTTTTTAATATTAATTAGGTTTGACTTGCCCTCATGTAGGCATCTGACAGTACAACTCACTGTATATATGATGTGAATGGCATTAGTGAGAAGACCAGTGAAAAAGCTTGTTGGGCAGCAGTGTGAAAAATGTAAATATAAGAATAAGAAATGATTTATGGATAAGACTCAAACATTCGGTTCATCTACAGGCTCTAACATAAATATTTAAATGGACCTGAATTCACCTCCGTTTCCCAGTATTCAGAAGTGAAAAATGTAAATATAAGAATAAGAAATTATTTATGGATAAGACTCAAACATTCAGTTCATCTACAGGCTCTGACATAAATATTTAAATGGGCCTGAATTCACCTCCGTTTCCAGTATTCAGAAGCCCTTTAGGAGGCGATCTGAATGTAGAGGTAAATGGACGTTTGTGAACATTTTGAAAAGGAAAATTTTAATTTCAATCTGTCAATCATTGAACTGTCCACACAACACTACAACATGTGTACACTGTACACTTTGTGTGTCTGTATATGTTTGTGTCTGACCTACTTTCTAAGTCTGCTGGACAAACCACAGGAAGGGTGGGTGGTTTGGAAAGTAAGAGTCCCTGCATGTGTCACTCTGACCAGTTGTGTTTACATAAACAGAGGGGAGAAAAAAATGTCTCTCTCTCTCTCTCTCTCTCTCCTGTGAGAAAATAAAGATCTGCTGGCCTAAAGTGTGACTTGGCAGCTCGACATAGTCACAAGTAACATCAATGATTGTCATTGCTGTACAAGGACGCTGTTTTCCATTTTTCATGTACGTGGCGTGAAAAAGAAGTAGCTATAGATGACCTTCAAGCTTTCTGCTCTAGTGCTTTTATAGTTAAAATAAATGACAACTCTATTTTAAACGTGGAACAAAATTTTACACTTGCTTGTTATGAGGAAGCGGTAGGTCAGTCCAGAGGGACGACAAGGACGGTCAGGACTGTGGTTTGTGGTTTTATCAAGACGCATGAGGAAGCAGAGTTACCATAACAGTTATTGCTTTTACTTGGCAACAATACTTAACATTGATGCATGTCAGCCAGTGAAAGCGATACTTGATGACAGTCCAGCACAGTAGCCTAAAATAAATCATTTGGTCTCATTTACTGTGGGAACATTTAGAACCTCTGTCCAGGTGTGTCCAATGTCCAGCCCAAAGACCAGTTGTGTCATCTGGACTGGACTTGGCTTTTCTGCTGCATTGTTCTCTTATCATTATCATCTTATTAAGTCTATTGTGTTCATCTATTTTTGGTCAATTTTTAAATGCTATATATTTATTTAGGCTCACATGTGATTGTTGGTAAATTTGAGTTATTATTTTCTACTAATATTGTTTGCTAATGATACATATATTTGGGCTAATTTTTAGTTATCACTGAGCTAACTTTTAATGCATTTTTGTCTAACTAACTAACTTTTTGCTATTTCTGTCTTAATTTTGTCACAGCTGTTTTTTCGGAGTATTGTAATTCCCTCTGATCGGTGTTGCTGAATGGCCTTTAAATTGGGGTTTTATTAACTATGCACAAAAATGAAGTTTGTTGTAAGACATTGCATAAATAATTTACACGGATATAAAAGACATTTTACATTTTTAATATAAAATATGTTTTGTCAAGGTGATTTCTCTTTGCCTAATTAAATATTAAAAAAAACCCTCAACCATTTGTCCACATGGCCATCTGATTTCAATGACGCAACAGCAGCAGCCACGTGTTCTAGCCCTGTCCGGGTATGTTTATATTGTTCTTGTCAGGACACGTTCATGCCGCCTCACTGAACACATTTTTGTGGAATAAAAGAATGAAGTAGGCACTGGAGTCTAAAACATGACTCGGCAAAATGAGGACTGTGTCCATTATGCTTGAATTTGTTTGAAGACAACACACCCATGCCACTCTTTTGTTACAGGTTATTTTACTATTAAAAAAAAACACACAAAAAAAACCTAAAAGGCAGGGATAAGTTCAATGTTGATAATTGACTGCATGTTTTATGAAATAACTAATAATATAATATTAATGATAATAGGATTGTCTGTGTTCTGTATATTCAGACTTAATCCATATTAAAGGTAAAGTTCTTTATCACCAAACACTATCAGCTTCTGCCATCTACTCCCTGGTCCTGATCCAATTCTCAAAAACACTTCTGTGAGAAACCAATAAGCTCTACTGAATTGCTTGGCTGCCCTCCATCTGTAATGGCCACGTCTCAGAGTCCAGACACTGGGCTGCCGAGATAAACCGAATTCCTGCCTGAGAGTTTTAACTCTCATTGGTAAACAGACGAGAGAAGCTGAGGTCAGACTGCGCAAGAGTCAAAATTTTAAATGAGATGACCAGGCTGTGCAGCTACAAGGGTTTCTGCTTCATCTTTCACCTATATCAGAGCCAGCAGAGTTTTATTAGCTACAGCCTTTTTCTGTTATTTTTCTATTCAACTAAATGTTCCAGCGTGTGACTCACTTATGCCCTTAAACAGTGACTCATTGGGGCACTTGGACTGTATAAAGTTCAAATTATTTTATTAAAAAACATCTTTGCTAAAGTGCCCTTAGAAATGGCTTGATTTCAGTGCAATGCATTTGTGTGTGTGTATGTGTGTGTGCTCTGACAAAAAGCTCAAATTTGCACTTGTTAATAATTTTTCCTGACCAGGATCCTGAGATACTTTTACCTTGTTATAAATGTCACACATGCAGGCATGGAAGCCTAGGGCAGTGTGGCAATAATACTAGCAGAGGAGCTGTTATGAAGACATTTCTTTGTGTTGATTAATCTAATCTGTAGTGGCTGGGCTCACTGCCTAGAAGTCTACCAAATATAGTTCTGTGGTTGTCTTAACAAAACAGAATGTAGTGAAGGCTGTGCCTCAAAGCTGGCGTGCTGCTGCTGGGTTTTGTTCCAAGATTCTACTTAACCACAAAAACGTACATGCACACATCAAACTCAGAACAAAAACCAATAACACGTGGAACTGTCATTGAAATGTACATGCATAATGTCTGTGTACAAAACGTCTAAACCTTTGTAGCACAACTACTGTGTCTTTGCTACGTAAAGGATGCCATCTGAAATATATGTTCAACTGTAGTTAATGACAAGCATTTAATTTCTTAGTTTAATCTGGACTGGCTAACACACTTGTGACTCATATTTATGAATCCATGACCTGCAGCTTTCTGTGAAATTAATTAGCTGTTTTCAGTCAGGAGAGGTAAATGTTAATTTTCCTTGTTTAAACTGAAATATGTACACAAGTAAAATATTTGCTACAGAATCCAGTTTAACAGGTGTACCTAAAGTGGTAACCAACAGCAGCTTCATTTGAAAGATAAATATAGCTTCTTAAAGTAATAATAACTTAAACAGATAAGTGACACAAAACATGATAAGGCACAAGGAGCTGGCATAAAACAGTTGGGCAAGAAACACAGAAAGGTCAGCCAAAGCTACTGGAAAAAATGGGTCACGATAAGCAAGTCTTCAATCGGAATTAAAGACGGCTGCGCATATGTTGAAACTTGTAACTGTAAATGCTAAATAAATATGGAAAATTAGCCTGCAATAGAAGGGTAAGTACTTAAAGTAAAATAGTATTTTTTTTACTTAAAGTAAGTAAAATAAACCCCAACAAATTAATTAATAATTAAACAAATATCCCTTGTGTAGCATGTCAACCAATTTGGGTTGAATTACTGCCACCTACTGGATCATTTTCTTTTTTTACTTTAAACGCCGTATCATAACAGAAAAAAAAACAACAAAGACATAGAACTATGTATGAGTGTGTATTTAATTAATTATATGTTTATTCTTCTAGAAAGACATTCGACAATTTCTGTTCTGTACATTGATCGTATCGACCATTACAGTGGTATTTCATCAGTCGCATGATCAGAGCGGAAGTGGGCGGGACGTTACCGCCTCTTCTTTAGCGTCACAGGCGGCGTGGCGGTCACACTGCTTTTTCCGGACCGCGTATCACTCGCGGCCATTCCGTCAGACTCATCTTAAACCGAACTGAGAGTGGACGTACTTCTCCCTCACAGTCAGAAAGCAACCGTTACCCGCCTTTAGCACAACGAGCCGAGCTTGAAGCCGCTTTGCGTCTTTGCTCTAGACCACTCAGACCCACTCTGAATTCTCATTAAATATGTCTAATATCGTCTGTTGTCAAACTCCTCAGGTAAGAGATTTTTTTTAACTGTATTGTATTTTTCCTCCGTTCTGTTTTCCTATACGCAGATAAATAAATCCCGTTATCGGTAACAGCTGCTGCTTAAATTGTCGTTGTGATTACTTCATATATGCGTTAAAATTCAAATGAAGGTGGATTCGCTGAAATAAGCGGAAATTCTGGTGGAGGAAATGATAATGATCAGATTGGCGCGACTGTCACACAGTGTCATACAAATGGTAACGTTGGTAATGTGTTTGCGTGTAATGGCTACAGTGACCAGCGCTGTTAGGTTAACGTTCGCTATTTTAATTCTAATGTTTACGCAGTCGTAGACTCAATCAGCGATACGCGTTTTTATTGCTCCCCATCTCATCATCGTCACCACCATCATCATCATCACCACCATCACCCTCCCTGTCTCGGCAGCAGGTTGCTAACACAGTAGCCTCCTAACATGCTCTTCCTCTGCTAGGTTTTTTCTGACTCCCTGGCTCCACGTAAATGCTGTCTTTGTGTTACATAAATTCTAAACGTATGTACATTACATGGGTCGTGGTGGTGGTGAAGGGCCGACTCTTCCCGTCTGACCCACTTTCTACCGACAGGATAGTACCGTAGCAGTGTGGCTCACATGCATGCATACAGCCCCTGGGGTTTTTTTTTTTTTTTGCTGTGGCAGAGGAGGGGTCTGGTAGGCGACAGGAATAGCATTACTTTGCAGTGAATGGCAAACAGCGGGTATTAAGCCGGCGAGGGTGGCAGGGTGGATAATACAGGATAGATAACCATCGCATTATACACTCTGTCTTTTAATCACTCTCATCTAGTGCCGTATTGTGGCAGGGTTTATGTGCTGTATGATCAGCCCTAGCTGAAGTTAATGATTTTCTGACGTTATCCCATTGATTGTTAAAGGAAATAGTCTGACCGGCTCTAGGTGTCAGGTTCCCTTTAGGGCTTTCTCTAGTCTGCCGGCTGCCTCGTGGTGTGATAGTGTTCCCCCTGTTTAAGACGACGAACCTCGAGGACAAAGTCTGGTATCCTACCATGTCAATGACATGAACGCAAACTGTTTTTTATTATCTGTTTGATCATTTAAAAGTAACATTTTGGTCAGTCAGTTGGCAGATTTTTATTTGGGTGAAAGTGGCTTAATTTACCACACCTTCTATTGTTGCAGTTGAGGTAGTATAATATGGTCATTACGCATTCGCTCAACCTTAAGTCGTTTTTACTGTGGTCACAATCGGCAGCCTTTATTAGTGCCTCTATTTAGATGTCACGCCTTTTGGCGGCATACGGTTTCAGATGTTGAATATAGCTGGTGATTTTCCACTCTGAAACTAGATGAATTAGGCAGAACTTCATCTCTACGCCACTAGAGGGTGGTCGAACTAGCACCAACGGGTCATACTGGCAGACTTGCACTTAAGTGTGTGACTAATCAGATGGAAAATGGAGGGAGAGTGGTCCTTCGTGACAAAGTTGAAAACAAAGAAGCCCGTTTCTTCTTCAGACGTTTAATCATTAGAGTTTCCCTGTTTGCAACACATTTATATTTCCAGAACCTGCTGATCTGCCGTTACTGTGTTACCACGATAAAGCATCTGGGTGAACAGCTGTATCCTCCTCCCTCATAATATTATAGTTTAAGGGCATCGTCAGTTGGATTATCATAGCATTGACTGATGAAGCAGGAACTGAATAAATATCATAACGTGCTGAAGCCGAAACATTCTGGTGCGTTGGCTTTAACTGGTGGGTGGACGTATGAGGAGGGACAGGAACGGTGTGGAGGAGTTGAACAATTCAGTCTTCTGTGTTTTGCCAGACAATTGCATAACTACACAAATCTGGGTCAGTGTTTCTTCCATCCATCCACACACAGCTGGGGTTCAACTTTTGTACCACGCAACACTAGCTGGGTGTATTGTGCACAGTAATAAACACATTTTAAGCAGGTACTACTATCCTACGCTTAAATGTGTAATAGGAAGCAGCAAATACATTTTAAATAATGCACACAGATACACTCTAGTTACTAATAGCTATATTTTCATATATGTTTTGATTATTGCAAAAACTGGGGTACAACAAATTAAAAATGCCCTTATTGCAGTGTAAGAGGAATGTTACTGATGTGTTCAACTTCCCTTGTTAAACTAGTTCTTGTCACTTTTAAAAATTCAAAATGTTAAATGCTCTTCTGACGTGACAGCTCAGAACAGCAAAACTGCTGGAAGTCAGAATGCGTCAGCATTTCCGTTGACTGAAACGTCAAACTATTAATACATAGCCGTAGGTTGAATACCTTTCCTTTCCAGCCTAAAGCTGCCCCCAAAGTATTTTATTAAACCACTTGGCTCAAGATATGTAGTTACAGAACCAATTTAACTTTACTGCATCATCAAGCTGATCTTTTTTTGTAATTACCCTCCCTGACCTCCCCTAAATTTAAAATGAGTAAGACATCTAAACAGATTTCAAACTTACAACTATACAGTTGCATAAGACAATCTGAGTTACTAGTGAAGCGGAAGACCCGTGAAACATGGCTCCCCCTGCGTTTTCCTTTTAGGTCAGTGCCTGAGTGAGAGGCTATGGGGTGGAGCCATCTGTCGGGGCTTGTCACTTAAAGGGTTTGGAAAGGCCTTAGTTTTAGAGAGCGTGCTGAAAGCAAAAGAACTACACAATCCTGTTTCTCCTGGTGGGATGTGGCAGCAGGTATGGAGCAAAATGATGAGAGATCTTTTGATAGAGAATTATAAAAGGCAAAAGGATCAAAGGCATAACTTTTGTGAAACCTAACTTACGTTTGTTGTATTTTAATCAAATTTAGGATTGTTATTTTTTTACAAAATAAAAGCAGTTAAAGGAATTAAATAGCCTCTCGACTTGCATGTTCTCTGATTTTGTGTACACGTGAAATATAGAAAGCTCAGTGCTTGCACAATGTGGGCCATGTGAAAGAATTCAGACAGGAGGTAGGGATACGGGTTCTCATCTGACATTGCCTCAAAAGCACACGTGTTACTGGCACATGCTAGCATTGCTTGAATGCCAAGAACATGCTGTATTAAAAATGTCAAACGAGCTGTGTGACTTTCCAGCTAAAATAACTAACATAACTTTTGTTCTTCATCCTAGGTTATAATGTATGACCAACACAGAATAAGTACAACTCTATAGCCAACGGGATTCTAAGGACTTGATTAGTCACTTCAAGCCTGATAGTTTGTCCGTGCGGCTGCCCTTGTGTCGTGTCAACTGGCATTTCTTCTGACGATTTCCCTGTCTGTGGGTGAAGAAGACTTGATTCTCCTGTGATCTCCGTCTACTTTACCTACATTCCTGTCCTATTTGACTCTTGGCAGCAGTGGTTCACTGGATTTGCAACACTCTTGATTAGGTAAGCTTATGATTAATGCATGAGGCAGATTGTAATGCACAATACAGACATCTAATCCATCCGGTCATAAATGAATTCAGCCAGCACTTACAGTGTTTACACAGCTTTAATGCTGCGGGGAAGCAAATAAAGAACATTCAATTTAGTATTGCCTTATAACTATACTGCTATGTTTTACACTTTCTTAGGCAAACTGTCGAAATTTACCAAGATGATTCCAAACGGTTATTTGATCTTTGAGGATGAGAGTTTCTTGGATTCCACCGTGGCCAAAATGAATGCTCTGAGGAAGAGTGGTCAGTTCTGTGATGTTAGACTGCAGGTACAGTTCAATATTTCCACAACTTTGTCTGACAATATTGGTCTGCATCTTAAGAGTTTCTCAGTTCATAACAATATGTTTGTCTTATTTTGTTTCTTTTGTAGTCAAATCCATTTTTTAAAGCTATTTGATTCCTACTTTGTACAGGTGTGTGGTCATGAGTTGATGGCACATCGTGCTGTTTTGGCTTGCTGCAGTCCCTACCTGTTTGAAATCTTTAACAGTGATGTTGAGCCTCATGGAGTCTCACATGTCACCTTTGAGGACTTGGACCCAGAGGCTGTGGAGATCTTGCTCAACTATGCCTATACTGCCAAGTTAGTAGCACATTGATCTTTGACCTTTGTGTCTCTGGAGTCACTGCTGCATAATGATCATCTTTCCTCCTGTTTTCAATGTGCAACACAGGCTTAAGGCAGACAAAGAGCTGGTCAAGGAAGTTTACTCTGCAGCCAGAAGGTTTAAGATGGAGCGAGTCAAACAGGTATGGAGTTATCAGTAAATAAATATAACTTATGGTAAAGTTTTGACTTTGTTAAAATGCCTAAAAATAAAAACTCCAATAACTCTTATTCCCTCCACAGATTTGTGGCGACTACCTACTGTCTAAGATTGACTGCCAGAACGCCATCTCATTTCGTAACTTTGCCAGCTCTATGGGAGATGCCAGAGTTTTGGCCAAGGTGGACGCCTTCATCCAAGATAATCTACTGGAAGTTTCAGAACAGGAGGATTTTCTCAGACTTCCCCGTCTCAAGGTATTTGCTTAATGTATAAATGACATTGTGTTTCAATTTAAATACAAGCACTAACCCAACCCCTTTAGTACAATATAGCACAGCTCTATTTGTCCTTCATTTTAAACTAAATAGCCATTGGGAAATACGATTAAACTGTAGCAAGTTAATAAATCCTCAAGCCTTGTTAGAGTCATTGTGAAGTCGGTGATTATTGTGAAGTCCATTTTTAGGGCGTAACAAGTCGAATGTTCCATTTCATTCAGTTTTATTTGATTCTTTCAATATCTAGTTCCTCTTTTTATGACTGATTGTAATGCTTCAAAGCTAAACTACATTAGTAATCTGTGAATTAGAGACTTACTTTAGAGTTGTAAAATCTAAAGCACCAGTTTCTTCTGTTTTCTACCCACTTGTTACTGCTGTACAAACCCTAACTCATGTTTCTCCTACATTTTGTGTTGACAGTTAGAAGTAATGGTAGAAGACAATCTGACCCTTCCAAGCAACGGCAAGCTTTACTCAAAAGTACTCAGCTGGGTGCAGCGTAGCCTTTGGGAGAATGGAGACAACCTGGAACTACTGATGGAAGAGGTCAGTAGCTGGTTATAACTCGGAATGATCTTCATTCCTTACCTGCCCATTCTCTTCATCCTGACTCCTCCTGTGTTTGACATTAAGAAGTCATTAAGGGGGCTGAAATATAAATAGCATGCCCTTGTCATGCTGCTCTGTCAGGATTGTTCTTTTTTCCCTCTGATTTGTTGAGGTTTTTGCAGTAAGAAACTCTGTACCCCTGACCAATACTACAAATTAGAGGTGAGCTGAAAAGAGCTGCTGTTGCTCTTGCCTTTTGTTTCCACTGTTTTCTTGGGTTTGTGGTTGATTTACATACAACCCACCTTCTGATTTATCAGTGCTCGTCTCATCTGAAAAACAAAAACACAGGTTTGACCCTTGACTCTACTGTCTCACTGCCACTTTACTATCTGAACAGGTGCCTGTTTGTTTCTCCAGCACTAACAGGCCATCCTCCCCGTTGATTTTATCTCTCCTTTAGGTTTATTTGCAGCAGCAGGAGACCAGACTGAGGAGCCATGACTGAGCCACCAGGGTAATGAGTCAGAGAAAGGGAGGGGAAGAACACTTCTGCCTCTCAGCAGCATCTCTTTGCAGCCAACACTGTGCACCCATCTGTCCATGCCACATGAACAGATGTATCTCATTCATGCATTTTAAAAAAAAGTTTTCAAAAATTTCCCCACAAAACAATCTATTAGAATGTCCATTACATGCAATGGCACATGCCGTTTCAGGCTACTCTCTCCTCTGTGATTATAAAAAAAACACCCACATAATTTAGTAAAAACAGCTGTGAGAAAACCTTCTAATTTTTTTTACCCTGTTTAAGATTTGCTTCAGAAGCTTCAACTGGGTAAACTGGGTCTTTAACCAACTATGCCATTGTAATTGTTTTTTTGTTGTTGTTTTATTTTAAAGTGGTATGTAATCTTTTTTAATGGTGGGAGGCTGGGCAAAGCATTACAAGTCTTCCAAGTCATCTGGATTTGACTGCCCGTTGTGGCAGTAATCACAGTAACCAACTAACTCAGCTCGAGGACTGGTTTCCAAGCAGCAGTGGTGGAAAAAGGTTCCACATGCAGCCCCTCTTCATTCTTCACAGAGGATTTTTCCAGATGCAGCTTTTCTTCACCAACTCCCTCCCTCTTTTTTTTAGATGCAAATTGCAGGAGGGTCGATGGCTTTCAACACTCAAGTACCACTTCTCACGGTGGCAAAAGAGGCTTGTGTCTTTTGTATTTAGTAGACTGAAGATTCAGGCCGTTGCCCTTAAACCCTCCTCACTCTGACAGTGCTGCCACTCCTTTCTCCTTCTTCACCCCTTTCTCTACTGGGGCTTTGTGTGTTGCCATGGAGACAGCCACATAGGTGTGTTGTTCCTGTTTGTCTTTCAGGTGCAAACGCTGTACTACTCACCTGACCATAAGCTGGTGGATGGAGGGCTGGTGATTGAGGGGCACAGTGAGGTGTTTGGTGGCGAGGAGGACCACCTTCAGTTTGTGCAGGTACTTGACAGCAGCTTGTGCCTGGCTTCACATTAAAGGAAAGATTCTACCACATTCTCCGTGGTAGACTGTACCTTAATCTACTTAGTCAGATTTATTATCCCCAGCTCACATGATAGCCAACATGTTAGTTATTTTAAAGAAAAGAACATTCTTGCTTAGCTGTGCCGATCAGCAGTTAGTGCTCCGTCTGCTACTTTTCGGCCGGCAGCGTTTTGACTTGTGACTTCACTGTCTGCCATGCATTCTGGTGAGAGACTAGTTTGTAGAGCTGTGTTGTTGGCTTCAGCTGGTTTTAAGAACTTGGTGTAGACAGTCTTTGGGTTGGTCAGCTGGGGTGAGAGTGTCAGTTAGGATGTGATCAAGGTGGTGTTGGGCCTGGTTGGGCCTCTGGTGCAAGCTTGGCTTCTGTAGCTGCACTGTGCTCTTGCAGAAGAAACCTGTGCGGGAGAACATCCAGAGACAGATGAGCTGCAGCTCCTCAGGAAGCCTGTCACCCTCCAACCAAGCAGCAAATGCTCCTAAACAGACCAGCAGGAGGGAGTGGAAGTACATCGCCTCAGAGAAGACCACAAGTAAGTACAATCCTATTGGTTGTTTAGAAGACCAGGGTCAGTAGTGAGAAAAACACTTCAAGAAAAGTTTGAGAAACCACATTGTCCACTCCTTGAATGGACAAGTCCTCCTTAAACAGATGAACTCTGGCGTTCAGTTTTAAATACAGTTTTTCCTGGTGTTGCTCATTAAAATCAAATTCTCTCCAGACAACACCAACCTTTGCCTGGCAGTGCTGGATGGTGTGCTGTGTATGATCTTCTTGCACAGTCGCAACAGCCCTCAGACCTCTCCTTCTGCCACCCCCTGCCTGATGAAGAGCCTCAGCTTTGAGGCCCAGCCTGAGGATCTGGAGGAGCAGCCTCTGTCACCCATGCATTATGCACGCTCTGGCCTGGGCACCGCAGCCCTGAATGGAAAACTCATTGCAGCAGGTTGGTACCAAGTTAATACTCTCCTTATACTTTTGGCATGTTCATCCATCAGGGGTCACCACATTGGTCGTCTGTATAGTGACATGGTAATGACACAAATTCAACCAGAAATTTGACTTGGACTTGGTGGAATCAAAGTTATTATTAGCTAGTGTTGACCTGAGAGATCTGTGTGCTCTAGAACCAGTGTTTCCCCAGTGGCCAACATAATGACAACATGTTTGCCTGATGTTGTAGGAGGCTACAACAGAGAGGAGTGTCTGAGGACTGTCGAGTGTTATGACCCCAAAGAGGACCGCTGGACCTTCATCGCTCCCATGCGGACTCCAAGGGCTCGGTTCCAAATGGCTGTGCTCATGGTACAGTATGGTTTTCTTCGCACTTCCAGATTTACTCAATGCGTAATGTTTCCATCCAGCCATTTGATGCTGAAGTTTGCCTTTACGTTCTTAACTCACAGGGTCAGCTTTACGTTGTTGGAGGGTCAAATGGTCATTCTGACGAGCTGAGCTGTGGAGAGGCGTACGATCCACATGCTGATGAGTGGACTCAAATGTCAGAGCTGCGGACCAACCGCTGCAACGCAGGTCAGTCAGCGCCTTCAGCGAGAAAGTGTTGCAGATATCCTTCCAGCATCAATGGAATGACTTTGTTTTGTTTTTTTTTCTGTTGAAGGTGTCTGTTCCTTGAACAACAAACTCTACGTTGTGGGAGGGTCAGACCCCTGTGGGCAGAAGGGCCTGAAGAACTGTGATGCATTTGATCCTGTCACTAAAACCTGGTCCAAATGTGCCTCCCTCAACATCAGTATGTGTTTACAGTTCATTATATATGAAACATTCATACAAATGTCTTTATTGTAAACTAACCATAACTGTTTTGTGTACAATATTCAGTAAATATATAGAATGAAGATCACAAAGAACTAATGAATATGTATTAATGATAAATATATACTGGTCTTTTTCAGGGAGGCACCAAGCAGCAGTGTGTGAGTTGGAAGGCTTCATGTATGTGATCGGAGGGGCAGAGTCATGGAACTGCCTGAACACTGTGGAACGCTACAACCCTGAAAACAACACCTGGACATTGGTTGCACCCATGAATGTGGCTCGCAGGGGAGCCGGCGTTGTTGTCCATGCAGGTAAACTAACGCCCAGAGCACCGTGTTGAAAATGGCTTTTTATATTTTATGGTGCTGAGATGTGTAATGGTTCTCACTTTCTTCAGGCAAACTGTTTGTCATTGGCGGCTTTGACGGCTCTCATGCACTCCGCTGTGTGGAGGTGTACGACCCAGCCCGCAATGAGTGGAAGATGTTGGGCAGCATGACTTCCTCACGCAGCAACGCGGGGGCGGCCATGCTGGGCGAGGCCATCTACGCTGTGGGCGGATTCGATGGAAACAACTTCCTCAACACCATGGAAGTGTACAACCCTGACACCGACGAGTGGAACGACTGCACCAAGGCCCCAACACCCACCTCCGAGTGAAGGACGAAGTAGATAAAACAGGGTTAAAGAGTTTCACAGTGCTTCACCCCCGCACCCCCAAACTAACAGGCTTAGTGATTTTGTCGTGTTTGATGTAATGTGTGTGCGTGTGTGTGTATATGTGTATGAGTGGATTGTGTGGAAGTGGGGATGGGAGACATGGGGGAAGGAGTCTTCAGTGAAGACTATTCAGTGAGTAGGGAGGGAGGGATTTAGAGAGGGAGGGAGGGTGGAAGTGAAAGGTTTGTTGCCTAAAGCAACAGGATGCCTTTTCATATTGCATACAATGTTTGTTTTTGTGCTGTACATATTTGTTTTTCCTCATATTTGTCATATGCCAACATTTAATTCACTTGTAGTGCTTTCCTTTTTTTTTCCTCTACATTTTTTTGGAGGGTTTTCAGATGAGCTAACTAATGTTGGTCACTTGGACGTTTATAGTGATTGATGAAAAGTCAGATTTCTTTATTAATATTTCAGTCAGAAATATAACTTCTCAATTTTAAAGGTCAGTTGTTTGAAGCCCTACTCTTGAGTGAGAGTTGGTAAAACTTCATCACTGCATTTTTTGTGTCATTTCATATAATTTAACTTGAATTGCGAATCTTTAAAAATTGCCTTTTTTATATTTTTTATACACTGCTGAATAAACAATAAAATAACAGTAGCAAACAGTTGAAGTTGATGAATCTAACCAGTGCCAGTTTTAAGTAGATATTTTTTTCTTTCATGCATACACAACCATGCTTCTGCTAACCAAACCTTTGTTATTGTGATTTTATTTTAGCTCATGTATTTAGCAAATAGCAGTTTACTGAGAATCCCCCCCTCCCCCTCTTGTGTTTTAAAATGTAAGGCATTGGCAGATTCTTTTGGAAATAATTGAAGAGAGAAATTATCACATTTGTAAAATTTCTTAAATAATAAATCACTTAAACATATTGTTGTTGGTGGTGCAGTTTCTAAACAGCTCCCTGTGAAATAAATGTACTGTTAAAAAATTGCCCTCTGTCCTTAGGGTTAAAGCAGTTGAACCAATTGTCTCCACCTGGACTGTGTCCTGGTTACTAGTGTCTAAGCCTCAACGGCCTGTGTTTTCACAGGGACTATCACACTAAGCCAGTTTTTCCCCTGCTATTTAAGTGTCCTTTAGGAG